CGGGCGGGGGGCAAGGCAGGCTAGCGGAGGCTGCCGCCGTCGCCCATGTTTGAGTGGGCGCTGGGGAAGGCAGCTCACCGAATCAATAGTGCCCTTGTAATCCTCTTCGTCGAGCAAAATGAAAATGGCGTCCGGTGTGGTACACAGTCGCAGCAGTTGTGGTGTGGGCAGGACCCAGGCTTTGCCTTCTGATTGGTGGCGATATACTGAGGAGCAGTTCCATCAGCCATACACTAAGGGAGTGCATTTTAGAATTAGAACTTTGGCACCCACTACTCAAATATAATAAGGGAGAGATGAGACCATAGAATATAATGGAAACATTGCGCCGCCACTCTGACGCAACTCCACAGAAGAGGGGTTTAAAGTTTAAACCCCTTCTCTGTGGAGTCGCACCGCCGCCATTATATTCTATGGCCCCATTATATTCTATGGCTGCTGCGGCGCGACTCTAGAAAAAAAGGAACATGGGGGTGGGACTGCCGGGGCGAGTTGCCAGAGCAGTGCTCCGGTGTGCTCCAGCCCCAAATGACCCCTGCTTTAAACTGAATTGTAAGCCAAACAAACTGCTTCAAGAAATACTCCAATTTGGACTTTCTGGTGTGTTTTCTAATGTCACTGTTGTGTTGAGAATTTCCTGAATTTACCCATATCAGTAGTTTCAGGTAAACAGTCATTCGAAGTGCTGAAACAGGTCAAGAATTACTACTGTTCACCTATGGGACAAGATCATTTGAATGGCGTTGCTATGCCTAACATAATCTATGATACTATTTTTTTCCAGCTTAACTGGTGAATTTGCACAAAAAAAGCTAGAAAATCACTTGTTAAATATTACAACATGTTTATTACAAAGTTTTACAATGTTCTTTTTCTTATTGTATTAAATGTAAGCATTTAAAATATAATACTACTAGTGTTGTATCATTATTTTTGCACTTCTTCATTTTTTAAATTACTGTGTGGGCCACAAAAATGGAAGTGCCCTGGGCCTCTCTTGACCTCTGTGAGGGCCTGGTGTTTATGGAAACAATTCCAAATGGACCAGCTGCTGTGCTACAGTTGCCAGCTCCAGGGTGGGGAGCTCCTGGATATTTTGGGAGTGGAGCCTGGGGAGAACAGGGACCTCCAGTGGGGTACAATGCCACAGACTCCACTCTCCAAAGCAGCCATTTTCTCCAGGTGTACTGATATCTGTAGTATAGAAATGAGCTGAAATTCCGGGGAATCCTCAGGTCTCATCTGGAGGCTGGCATCCCTATGCTCTACTGGTACAAAGTCAGCAGAGGCTGTAGCAGAGCCTCCCTTTTCCCTTTCCAGGGCATATAAATAGATTTGTTCCTCTTCCACCAGCAATGGCAGTTAGCAAGAGCTTTGTGGCAGCGGGTCCTAGAGACCAGATGTTCCTCTTTACAGCAAGCCGTTTCTTCCTCTCCAAAGCTGAAAGCTGTCCTTTCAGTTTCCAATCCACTGGTCTCTTTCTGCTCCAACTGCTTCTTGAAAGATGCAAACTCTGTTTCCTGATTAAGAAACTCTCAATACCCCATCCCTTCCTTTACAGGACGCTGTTTATTACTAGAGCTGCCTTACGGCCTCTGTCACTGGGCAGTAACACCACAAACTTCCCCATTGCTTTTTCCACTGAATTATTGTGGAATATTTTCATTTCAGATTTGGAGACACAGAATATATGTGGGGAGCCTGTGAGGAATTGGGTGGTGGGGGTAAAACAGTGGAAAATTCCCTCACCCAACAGCCTGAGACTGCTGAGATCCTGGGCCCAATATGTAGCTTCCTGTCTACACAGTCCTGAAACCAAATCTATGTGATACCTTTAATTAAAGCCAACCAAAATAAGTCAAGCTTCTGAGTTTGCCTCTGAGGATGCCCTTATTTACAACTAGTCTCCAGCTTACATAGATCAGTTCCCCTGGAGAAAATGGCTGCTTTGGAGGATGGACTCTGTGACATCATACTGTGCTGAGGTCCCTCCCCTCCCCAGGCTCCTCCCCCAAAATCTCCAGGTATTTCCCAACCCAGAGCTGGCAACCCTACTCTGAAATCAGTTCAGCTGAGTACCCCACACAGGATGCCGATGAAGAGGCCTCATCATCGTCGCCTGGAAGATGTGCTTTTCTGCCACGCTCTACTTCGTTGGTGTTTATCATCCAGTCTGATGAAGAGTTCTGGAAAACTCAAAAGCATGCATCACGTGTTGGCTTATTTTGGTAGGTCATAATAAAAAAGTATGGCATGGCTTTTGGTATGGACCAACAGAGCCACCTACTTTTAAAAAATGTTACACTTACCCCAATTATAGATGTTGGGGGCTGGGTGAGCAGGCTGCTCATTTAACCACAATTTGAGTGGTACAGGACAGGAAGAAGGGGTGTATTTTCCCCTCCCACTGCCTAGGCTGTGTGGGAGAAAACCAGGATTAGGGCAAACATACCCTTTGAAGCTGTCAGGGGCTCTTCCCAGTTTGCACCTAAAGAAGTTTGGAGAGGGAGAGGTTGCTAATTTTAGGAAGTGTTTTTCTTCTGAGTCTAATCATTTGGGTCCCTGGACTTGCTTAGATTTGCAGGGCCAGGACCCTTAAAGTTTAAAATACTCTGGATTCAGGGTAGGTTAGAGTTAGGGTTAGAAAGATGTGTAGTTCACAGCACACATCCCCAATCCCTGTTCCCTTTCTCCAGGATACAGGATACTATAAGCTGTCAGGGTTCAGGTATTGGGTAGGTACCCCCCACACACACATTTGCCCCTATCCCAAATGTTGTTTAACTGTCCTCAACATTCCTTGTGTCCTCAAGAACAAGAAGCATGGGGAAAGGTTTCATTTTAAGTGGTATTTTTCTGCATCCTGACCTCGGATGGCCTAGGTTAGCCAAATCTCACCAGATCTTGCAGCATAAGCTAGGCTGCCCCTGCTTAGTACCTGGATGGGAGACCACCAAGGAAATCAAGATTGCTATGCACAGGTGACCTGGCTGTAGCCCCAGAGGGCACTAGGAGCCACTTCAGGCTCAGAATGGCTCCCAGACACCTTATTTATTTATTAGATTTATAAATGTCTTTATAAAGCGGAGCTTGGGATGCCTCAAAACATTTTTTAAAACCCCATACAACTGAACCATAAGATTCATCATTAAAACAGATTAAAACAGTTAAAAAATATTGACCTTCTCCCAGAACCTAGAAATATTCCAGAGAGAAAACATCTGGCAGACCAATCTCTGTAGAAAATAAAAGGATCAGCGAAAGGTCTGCTGGAACAATTCCATTTTGCATGTTCTGCGGAACTTTGACAGGTCCCGCAGGACATGTGAATCTTCGGATAAGGCATTCCACCAGGACGGGGCTCTGATGGGGAATGTCCTCACCCCTGTGGAAGCAAGATGGACTTCCCAAGGACCAGGCACTGTCAAAAATTTGTGCCACGATGAGCACAAGCAGTGTGGGGGGTTATACCAGGAGAGGCGGTCCTTCAGATATGTCGCTGCAGGGCTCTAAGGTGGGTGGTGAGGCAACACCAATGTTGGAAATGGGGGGATTCCCCCAGCAAGTCTTGCAGGCCCCCCACTGAGTTCTGTGTTTTCACTGTTATAAAGTGTAACATACTATCCAAATCTGCTGGTAGTCCCACCTACTGCAACTGTATAATACCCTTTTCTGTCCAAATAATATATTCCTGGGTTTTCTTAACTACAAAACGTTTATCTTCCTCATACCCTCTCATATAGCAAAAATCAAAACATGTGTACTCAGGCAGCACAGGGTACAGCAGTTTGCATATCTCTCTCTCTCTCTCTCTCTCTCTCTCTCTCTCTCAAGTACTGAGTGTATTTCCATTTTCCTTGTGGAACACTAACAGTGAAATCCTAAGCAGAGTGACACCCTTCTAAGTCCAGCGATGCTACTAGAAGGTCTGCTTAGGAATGCCCTGAAATATACCTCTTAGCATAATTTCATATGTTTACCATGTTCCAAATGATGCATTATATGTTGTCAAAAATCACTAAAGTTGCTTAGGTTTGATAGAAAAATATTACACATATTTCAATCATTCCCAAAATTTTCACACACTCAAATTATTCCTTCCCCCCAACAGCTTCAAACTTTCAGGAAATTTCACACCTTCAAGCTGAAACTGCACTTTGGACACCCCTAAATGCACAAAGTGGAGCTTGGGGGGGGGGGGTTTCCGGTCCCTTTCCAAGTGGACCAAAAACCATCTGGCTTCTTTCCTTTAAAAAAATGTTGTAGAAGAAAAATTACAGAACACATGGATGAATTAATATCACAAAAACAAATAGGCGTAAATAAGAGAGGTTAAAAAGCAGCAGAGTTAACAAAATGTAAATTTACAACACATGATATTAAGAAAGACACGGCAGCCAAACATCTGGAGAAAATACACCCCTTTTAGCAGAGGCTTAATGTGTGGAAATTTGCAGCTTTAAATCACTCTTCACTACCCAAAGGTGTCTCAGAGTGGCTTACAAACTCCTTTCCCTTCCCGACAACAGACACCCTGTGAGGTAGGTGGGGCTGAGAGAGCTCTTGACAGAAACTGCTCTTTTTCAAGGACAGCTCTTATCAGAACTACGGCTTGCCTAAGGTAAGCAAATAACACAACCCATTACAATATTCCTTTAAGCCTCCAGATGGTCACCACTCACTTGCCTCCAAATGGTTGGCAAGCCTAAAATTAGACTGAGTGATACCTAATTGTTAATAAAGCATGAAAGTAAGCTTTTCTTAAATATAAGACTATAACACAGTAAGGAAGTAACTCCAACATCTGGAACAAAACAATCTCCACACACCCCACTCTTTCTCCCCTCCCCCTTAGAACACTTCGGAACTTGAGTCCTCCGAAGCAGCAGCTTTCCTCCCCACCATATGGTTCAGAGGGAAGGGCACCTCTGGATGGAGACACACTCCAGTATCCCTGTATATTACCAGCCCCAGAAAAAATTAACTGAAAGGCAACTTACATTGTGTAACTCCAAGCTTTATCTCTGTAATTGGACCACACCCTCACTTGTCAAACCACATCTTTCCCCAGGCCTCTGACTCACAGAAAAACAGCTCAGAAAAGGAAGTCCGGCAAATGCAGTAGGAGCCGCCCACACCAGCTCCTGACTGCTTTCTACTGGATAATCAACTCCGCTTTCAAAAGCAAAAAGCAAAAAAACCCCTGTAGCATATTGGAGGCTGCCACAGCTCTCTTTTGTTCATTGTTTGACTGAATAACCTTTATCTAAGCACTCTGTAGAGTAGGCTGAAGTTCCTTATTTGCTTCCTAGTTCTGCATTTCTAAAAACACTGTCCTTTCACCCAGACATTCAAAATATTCCTGAAGGAAAAGTCTGCGATGCAATGTGCATGTGGCTTTGTAATGTTTTGCTTCACATTCACAGTAAAGCAACTAAGCCCAGACCAGATTTGTGTATGTATACGTGTGGGGTTATTGAAGTTGTAGGTCGGGTCTCCAGTGAGGAGGGAAAAAAAGAAATGCTCCCAGTAAATTAAAAAAAAAAATGAAAGAAAGAGGGAAGGGGAGGAGCACCCTGAATATGCTCCAGGAGGTCCATAAAATTGAGAGGCAGTTGGGGGGGGGGGAGAGGCAGAGACAGGAGAATGACCTTGCTTCCAATGTAGGGTCGCCATACTCCAGGTGGAGCCTGGAGATCTCCCAGATTACAATCAAACTCCAAACAAGAGATTATTTACCCTGGAGAAAATGGCTGCTTGAGTGGGTGGAGTCTTTGGCACTATACCCTCCCCGCTCCAAACCCTGTCTTTCCCAGGCTCCACCCCTGAATCTCCAGGTACTTCCCAAGCGGGAGTTGGAAGCCCTATCCTCCCAGTCATATAGAAGTCTAGAAAGCACAGTTCCAGGGAGGGGATGAAATTTTCACATTTACTTGCCGGCCCCTCAGTTTGTTCTCACCAGTACCAAAGTGGGGCTTCGTCATGTGCCCCGCCCCCCAGTACCTCACCCGGGGGGAATGCATTCCCCCGCGTTCCCCACGAAATGACCTCTGATTCCAGTGCATTTTCCAGTGCCCAGCTGATTGCTTAATCACCGAAATAGGGCTGGCCAAAAAAACCCCCAGAGACTTCTGCGCACCAGGGGGGGGAAATGACACCAGATGTACAAAATAAAATGGGATTCTGTCTTCACTGTAAACATGGGGGGACGGTTTAAACAAGACTGCGTGCACGCTGCCTTCGTGTTGTCATGGGAATCCTGGAGTGAGAGGGCAGAGTACAAGCTCATGCCTTCTTGTCTGCCCAGAGGCTCCTAGAAAGAATGAAAGAAAGCAGCCTACAGCAGGGGTAGGAAACACCCTACTCACAGGTGTCCATTAGGTCTCTAAAAACAGCAATATATTGTAGTTTAGATTCCTCCAAGTTCTGCTTAACCTGATGAAATTTATAATAATTAAGTCTTACTCAATAAAGCCTCCATTTCATGTTTAAGAATGGGGTTACGGAATTGTGCATTTTAAAAACTCCAACAAGATAAAACAGTTTAAACAACACCTCCCTACATTTACACGCTATCCCTTATGCTTGCCTCCTTCCCCAGCAACAAGTTCTCTTAAAGCAACATACTTGACCACCGCAGCACGGCATTCAGCAGTCCAGATGACGGTTATGGACTGTTTTTCTCTTGCCTTGAAAACCCTACAAGGGGGTCATCATAAGCTGGCTGTGACTTGATGGAACTTTCCATCACCATTCATAGCCTGGGATATACAACATTGATTCATGTACTATAGAAGGGGAAGTCATGGAAGTAGTGACAGACTTCACGATCCTGGAATCCAAGATCACTGCAGACGGTGACTGCAGCCATGAAATTAAAAGACGCCTGCTCCTTGGGAGGAAAGCGATGGCGAACCTAAACAGCATGATAAAAAGTAGAGACATCACCCTGCCAACAGAAGTACGCATGGTCAAAGCAATGGTATTCCCAGTAGTCATGTATGGCTGCGAGAGTTGGACTATAAGGAAGGCCGAGTGCCGAAGAATAGATTCTTTTGAACTATGGTGCTGGAGAAGACTCTTGAGAGTCCCTTAGACTGCAAGAAGATCAAATCAGTCAATCCTCAAAGAAATCAACCCTGACTGTTCCCTGGAAGGCCAGATAATGAAACTGAAGCTCAAATACTTTGGCCACCCAATGAGAAGGGAGCACTCACTGGAGAAGATCCTGATGCTGGGAAAGATTGAAGGTCAAAGAAGACGGGGACGGCAAAGGATGAGATGGTTAGACAGTGTCACCGATGCAACGAACATAAAATTGAGCAAACTTCAGAGGACGGCGGAAGACAGGAGGGCCTGGCGTGATCTGGTCCATGGGGTCGCAAAGAGTCGGACTCGACTGTGCAACTGAACAACAACAACTGCACCCTATTTAAGGTCATGCATGAGGTTCAGGCAGGCTTCACTGCAACTGGGAATCCCCAGCGAAAACATATTTACTTTGCAAATCCTTCAGACTTTAAGAGCAGCTTTCTTGTGCAAAAACTCTTCTCCAGTATGCAAAACCTGTCTAATCAAAGCCCAAAAGGCTATTTCTTGGCCAACAGAAAGAAAGAAGGGCTTAACACTGTAGTCACTAATTTTAAATCACCAGGTAATTATTTTTCTTATAAAAGTGTTTCTATCCTGCTCTTCTAACCAAGTCGGTTTGACTCGGCTACTATGGCAGATTGCAATACTCCAACACCATCTAGTTAGTTAGAGTAGGTAACCTATATCTGCCTCTTACATGCATTCTCAAACATGTATTTCTTTTAATAAAAGTTGCTTGTTAGTTTTAGAACTGATTGCTGACTTTGTGTACCTTTGTAAGTCTGTTGCCACACCTAGCCCCAGCTCTGCTGCGTTAAAGCCTTGAGCACTCTGCTACTTTCTGTGTCCCTTGGCAGTACCAAGTCCAGATACTACACCACTAAATTCTAGTCTTCTATAATTAATCATCTTAAACCTGCATTGACTAGAATTCTTTGCCAAAGAACAGTCATCTACCGACATTACCACTCTAGTCATGTTACGAGGATACTTCCCCATTAAGAGTGGACTCCTTTGACTCTTGGGGGATTTCCACACATAATTTTTGCTGCTGATGCTCAGTTCCTTCCAGACCTTACAGATAGTATCATTTGATGCTGTGCTGATTTCAGCCCAACGGTCTTTTCTCAGACGATCTTTTGCACTGATGTTTTTTTGGATGGATCGCTCCTGAAGCATTGGGGGGGGAGTGTGTGCATTCCAGTCAGGGGTCATTTCGTAGAAAGAGCTAGGGGAACTCATTAGCATAACTCATTAGCATATGCCACACCCCCTGACATCACCGGAAGTGTGTCATAAGGCCACACCAGGGAGGAAGCAACTTACCCTCCCTCTTCTCCTGCCTCCTCCTGGCTGAATGAGGGCCAGAAGCGTGGTGGCCGGAAGCAGGGGGCGGGGCTTCGTCATGTGCCCCGCCCCCCAGTACCTCACCCGGGGGGAATGCGGTCCCCCGCGTTCCCCCCGAAATGACCTCTGATTCCAGTGCATTTTCAAACGTCCTGCTGCCCATCACCAGCAACTTTCACGCCCCACTCTCTAGCCCTCCCCCCCTTTTTTTCAGAGCAGCTGCTGTTTACATTTCCTTGCACCTGCTCTTTTACTGACTCAAAGGGCAGCACCTGGTTTTCCTGACTCAAACTCATCTGCGAGTCCATGGGCTCTGATCCAGGCTCAGTACCACCAGCAACCCTGGAGCTACATGTTCCAGACAGGCCTTGAAGGAGAGCTCAGCCTTCTTAGAAGCCCGAGCAACCTGCACTTCAGCCTCCTCGTGGACTTAGCCGTACGCCCTCTGAAGAACATAAAGGATGCATTTTGACCGCAACACTGGCTCCATCCAGGAAGGCCACCTCTGTGCACTCACATGCATTAGTAGCATCTGCCTCTGTGCTTGTCGACAGACCACTGAAGCACCAGCCCTGACTATGGTTTTATTTACATACCCCTGCAGCATCCAAAACCTCAGAGAACACAGGGAAGATTGTTCTCTTACCGTTTAGCAGCACTGTGCGTTGTTCTTCACTCACCAAAAAGCAGGATTTTGAATCTGAAACTCAGCACATTCCAAGGAGGGAGATTGTTTCAGTTTCTCAGATGTTGAAATGCCTGGATTGGGAAGGGAATTAACCCAGTAATATCTGGGTTTGGTCTACACTTTGAAGAAGTTTTGTACTGATTTCTATTACCCATTGTAAGAGATGTTCCGCCAGGCTTTTGGTTGAGGACAGCAACAGTTGGTTGCACTGACTGGCACCCTTCCCTTTCCCTCTCCCTCCCTGTATATATTTTGTTCACATTTCTCTCTCCCCCTCCAATCAAATAGCCAGGAAGTCCAGAATGGGAACAGAAATTTCAAATCACCATCTGGGATCTTTTATTCTGGTTTTACTCTTATTAACTGTATGTGGATTTTAAAAATTGTATTTTGTCTTATGGCATTTTTGCACATTGCCCGGAAGGACAATTAATACATCAAAATAATAATAATAATAATAATAATAATAATAACAACAACAATAATAACAATAATAATAATCAACAACAACAACAACCCTGTAAAATCCCATATAGCTGTCAATCAGACCTGAGACGAACATCTGATGCATCTGAAGAACATCTGATGCATCTGAAAAGTCCAACTCCTCATACACAGCAGGCATGAACTTTGCCTGTTATTACTTGTGAGGGCATGAAGCCCCAGACTATTCTGGCACCTCTTCAAGTAGCAATCTGTATACTACGTAATCTATGTTTAGGCTTTAGGACTAGTACCATGGACTTGGAAAAATATAAACTATTTTTTCTAGGGCAAATTTCATTGGTGAATCCACTCTCGCTTGGAAAAATACAGCACTTAGCCAGACTATAGAACCTTATGGGATGCTAAGCCAAAAACCTGATGGAATAGAGGCAAGGGCTAAATCAAAATGGCTAAGAGAGAATAGAACCCAGTCGCACTATCAATAAATT